ATATGCACGGACCGAACGGGCTGTGGGCGAAGGCGGGGAAGAACCTCGAGCCGAAGAGATTCACGAAGAAAGCGGCGGCTGAGGTGGAGGAAAGACTTACGGCTGCCGTCAGAGAAGCTCTAGGGACACAGAAAGTAGTGCATACCGGCGATGTACTACCGCTCCCGCTGCCACCGCATCCAATCACCTACGCCCCGGCCCCTCCTGCTCACATCTCGTTCTGCGAACCCGTGTCTCAAGGCTTGCTTGCATCTACAACCAAGATTGTTCTCATCCAAGCGCGCCCACAGGGCCACAGGGCGCAAAGGAGTCTACGGTCAAGGTCGGGGCTGCTCAAACAGGTTGCGGAAGACGAGGCGGACGATACCAACGAGCAATTTTACTCGGCCGCCGAAGACAAGCCCAGCGAGAGCGGAACTGAAATGGAGAGCGCAACTCCGCCTGATGATTCGGAAACCGAGGGTTCGGTCGGCAATGCGAGCGACACCTCAGATGACTCGCTGGAGGATATGATCTCGCTGACAGCTCCACAACTTCCGCAACCGCCTTCTGGTGTTATGTCTTCAATCACTTCCGCTACGCCCCGTGCTGGTGGTCGTAGACTTGATGGCATTCACACCCCTGGGTCCGTAGCATCTAACTTTACGTCGGCGACCTTGCGCCCAGGAAGAGGACTCGGGAAAGTCTTCAAGACGGAAGGTTTACTACGTGGAATTCCGATCGAGCTCCTACATCCCAGGCCTCGGGAAGACGATGACGCGGAGTCATTCATCTATGTGGACATCAGTACGCTTGCGAAAATCGGCTGTTTTTCCGGCGACTGGGTGAGAATCGAGGCAACAGAGGAACCCCAGACGAATATCTTCTCATCGATTAAGCTCGGAAGTTTCAACGAGCACGATGATGACAATGGTGATTGGCGACCGGTCAAGATTTACGGCTTGTCAGGCCTTCCGTCTGCCAAGCCTAGGTATTCGATCAACCAATCGTCAGACAGGCGTCCTAGCATCTCGCAACGCCCTCCTCTGCGTCTCACTCCGTCGGTCTATGTTCCTCCCTTGCTGTTGAACAATCTTGAGAACCCGAAATATGTGCGCATCTCGCCGATGGCATTTGCCACAGCTAACGGCCCTTCGAAGTCCGCTATTCTGCATCAAGTCAAGGCCGGCTCGGTCAGGCAGCCACCTTTGGCCAAGGAAGTGAATCTCTTAAAGGTTTCTACGCCGCTCTCTATGGATCGTGTCCTCCAGCCGGCTCTGTTCGCAGGACTCAAGCAGTATTTCGAGTCGAAAAGGCGGATCTTGAAAAGCGGTGATCTCGTTGGTATCAGCGTTGATGAGGGACTTGGCAGAGCTGTTTTCTCTGGAGCCGCAGCCACGGATGCAAACACTGCAGACGAAGATTTGACAACACGATTTAATCAAGCCAGTGAGCCTGCGCAGGGTGGTGTGAAGAAGGTTGGCGTGGCATGGTTCCGCGTCGCTCATGTGGTTCCCGGCCAGTCCGAGGATCAGGATGAAGACGATCAATGGGGAGGGGTGGCCGTTATTGACTCGGCGACCACTAGGATGGTGCAGGCTGGAAGCGATGTCAGCCGGGTTCCGGGCACCTTGGAGAATGGGTGGGAGTACTGGCTTGGGGTGAAAACCGTACCCAAGTCCATCAGTGATGCGCCGTCTCCCCATGGTTTGGTCAGTGAGCCACCGCAGCTGTTCGTATCGCCATTGCAGAAGCGAATCCGCGAGCTCATGGCAGTGGCAACGAGTCCTCGCGCCATTCAGCTGGGAATGAAACCTGTTGTGATTCTGTTGAGGTCACAGCAAAGACATATTGGAAAGACTACCGTCGCAACGCGCGCATGCGCAGACATTGGTCTTCATACATTTCCTATTGATGCCTACGACATACTGACTGAGGGGGGCGCCAATGGCGGTGATGTGAAAACGGAAGCCTACCTTAAAGCGAGAGCCGAGCGGGCATTTCACTGTGGATCGCACTGCACGGCACTTCTCATCAAGCACATTGAGGTGTTGACTGCCGATAGAATAGTGTCGGCGATGGCAGAAATCCTTGCGGACGCGAGAGTTGTTATTGCCACAACTACGGACGTGGAGCAGATCCCAGAAGGAATCCGCAGCTTGTTCACTCACGAATTCGAAATGACTGCGCCTGAGGAGAAGGAGCGTGAGGGCATTCTCCGGAATGCGGTCGCCGAACGAAGCATCAAGCTTTCACCCGACGTCGACCTGGGTTCGGTCGCTCTGAAGACTGCCGCTTTGGTCGCCGGTGATTTAGTGGATGTCGTTGAAAGAGCTTCAGCCATCAGAACTGCCCGCCTGGAGAAACTAGCGGAGACGGCAAACAAAGTCGCATCAGGATCCAAAGTCAGCGTCAGGGACGTGCTTGTCTCTGGCGGCGATGCAGCACGAGGTGTCACCAAGGCCGATTTCGACGCCGCTGTTGATGCCGCAAGGAAGAACTTCGCCGACTCCATTGGGGCCCCGAAGATTCCAAATGTCAGCTGGGAGGACGTGGGTGGACTTACCAATGTCAAGGATGCCCTGGTTGAGACTATTCAGCTGCCTCTTGAAAGACCAGAGCTCTTTGCCAAGGGCATGAAGAAGCGGAGCGGTATTCTGTTTTATGGCCCTCCCGGTACTGGAAAGACCTTGCTTGCCAAAGCCATTGCTACCGAATTCTCCCTCAACTTCTTCTCCGTTAAGGGTCCCGAGTTGCTCAATATGTATATTGGTGAATCCGAGGCGAATGTGCGGCGAGTGTTCCAGCGCGCTCGGGATGCTCGGCCTTGTGTTGTCTTCTTTGACGAGCTTGACTCAGTCGCGCCGAAACGTGGAAACCAAGGTGACAGTGGCGGTGTGATGGACCGCATTGTCAGCCAGTTGCTTGCCGAGCTAGATGGAATGAATGGTGGTGAAGAGAACAGCGGAGGCGTGTTTGTTATCGGCGCCACCAATCGTCCCGATCTGCTGGATACGGCCCTTTTGCGTCCCGGCCGTTTCGACAAGATGCTCTACCTTGGTGTTTCGGATACGCATGAGAAACAAGCTACTATCCTTGAGGCTTTGACGAGAAAGTTCACACTCGACCCCGAAGTGTCCCTCCGCCGAGTCGCCGACCGGCTTCCCCTTACTTATACTGGTGCCGATCTGTATGCTTTGTGCTCCGACGCTATGCTCAAGGCTATCACGCGCAAGGCGACGGCGGTGGACGAGAAAATCAAGCAGCTACCGGGCGAGCCGGTTAGTACTGCATACTTCTTTGACCATCTCGCGACGCCGGAGGACGTGTCTGTGATGGTGACGGAGGAGGACTTCACCCGGGCCCAGAGCGAGATGGTTCCCAGCGTCAGGTATGTTACTAGTCAATACTTGATTAGATTGTTGGAAGACACTTTGCTAATGTTCCCCTACAGTGCCAAGGAACTAGAACATTTCGAGCGGATTCGGCGACAATTCGAATCCGATGACAAGAAGCATGAGCCGGAGAGAACTGGATCAGGGTCCAAGCCACCACAGACCATCGGTGACGCTCTTGAAGCGCTCAGGCTGGGGGGCCAGCTTGATGGATTCATCGATGGACCAGTTACGAATGGGGACCATCCTTCTCATGGCCACGGCAAAGGTAAAGGGAAAGCCGGGTCGGCCATGGTGCGAAGTGTTAGTGGGCAATCTACCAGCAGCAAGGGCAAGGGCAAATGGAAGAATAAGACCGTCTCGGGTGGAGGCGGAGAGTCTGATTCCTCGCTCGATGTTGCCAATGGGGATGATGACTACATTGTCCGGACGGATCACTTGATGAACTCTACGAACGGAGCGAAGTAGTCGGTGGCTTTGTGGCAATGGAATGAGATGAGGAACGAGCATAGCGTACAGTTGGAGGGTTGATATGCTCGTTTTGCATGTATATATTAGGTTTGCATCAGATGCTGTATCGATACCAGGTGTCGACGTTCCCGCTGTGGGTTGGAGTTGACCGTTTATACCTCTATCAATTCTTGATAATATGGATGGGATTCATAGCCGAGAGCAGAGTTCATGTGGAGCTGTCTGGCCATTCTTCGATATACTAATGGCTCACCGAGCCGTATCCTCACTTGTAGGGTCCTCCACCAGACACTCCACTTTACTTTCCTCCTAGTACTCCATAGACGAAGGCTTATCGGGATGCGTGTGTCAATTCGGTCGATAATTATATCGTCGTCACGCAGACCCGACTATCGAGACTTTATCATCTATCTATCTATCCATCCCTGGGTCGGAATATGAATCATCAGTCCTGATTGCTGAATGCTATCTCGGAAGTCCTCCGCCGCCAAGTTACCTTATGCCTCCCTTGATCCCTTCGCCCAGAGTCTGCATAAGCTTTCTGGCACCAGCCAAATCCCACCCCCAACCGCTAAGAAAAGACTTCCCGCAGATCCATCCTCTTCTCGTTTTGCCTCCTTTGTTCTGACTGGTCATCGGCGCCGTACTTCGGCAACTTGGGCGAATTATCGTCTGCTACAGGACTTATCGTTGACCCTGTCTCCGTCCGCGGTCATGCCATGGACGGATTATTTCTTGTCTTGCTTAGTTGAGAGGTACGGAGTACTTATGCAGTAGTAGTTGTGATTGCTGTTACCCATTACCCCATATCCATTATGTAACAGTTGGATTCCCCCGCAATCAGCTGGTGGGCCTCGCAAGTGATAATCTGGCGTACGAAGTACATTTCAGGAATCCAGGTTCCGATGATGGCAAATATCTAGCATAACGACTGAAAGCAAGGATGGAAGAAGGTTTCACGTAACTTTTGAGTGTTCCTGGGAAGTAGACTAGGCGGCTAGAATTGAGTTTCCCCAGCTGGGGTATATCCTGTCTCCGTCTACCACGCACCTCATAACTTGACGCTATCGCTGCTCTTGAGTCTTGATCTCACTTTCAAGACAGCTGTTCTCCTTTCATCAAATTCAACATTTGGTTTACTGCAATATCCGCGGCATGTCTTCGATAGAAAAACACAAACACCAGGGCGATGACGACGCCCAACTTGCGGCCATGGGCCACAAGGCCGAATTGGATCGCAATTTTTCCATGCTGTATGCTTTTCCTTTTTTTCATAATGCACATGCCGGCGATTCTGAGCGACTACTGATAAATGTTGGATCTAGATCGATGTTGGGGCTGGCGTTTGCGATTTTGAATGTATGCTTGTTCTCTTTTGATTCCACCGGACCTGCGTGATCGGATACTAATGACCGCATCGTGCTAGTCGTGGACGGCTCTTTCAGCAAGTCTTTCGCTGAGTCTTCCCTCCGGAGGAAGTGTGAGCGTTGTCTGGGGTAGGCCTTTTGACCTTGGGGTGCGTCGTCTGGCTCATTGCTGACTTCGGGATAAGGTCTGATCACGGCGGGGATCTGTAACCTCTGCATAGCGGCTTCGCTTGCTGAGTTTCTGTCTGCGTATCCTACGTTAGTGTTTCTAACTCTAAATTTTCAAATTCGGGTTGTTGATGGTAATACAGGGCTGGTGGGCAGTATCATTGGGTTGCAGGTGAGTTATTCATTATCTTCGTGGACGTGCAAAGAGGCTGGTGCTAACTTTTCTTCCTGTCGTAGTTAGTGAGTTGTCCCATATTATTGCAATTATGAACAGGGCTAACAAGTTGGAAGTTTCCTGGGAGAGATGGACGCCGATTCTCTCTTGGATTACTGGCTGGGTGAATGTTTCTGGCTGGGTATGACAATCCGTCTCGGTAGCTTTGGGTGCTCTGCTGATGAAACAGGTCGCTCTCGTTGCTACGGGTGGACTCTTGGGCAGTCAGTTGATCCTGGGTGTCATTTCCTTGATGAATCCGGTAAGAGTGTTGACTGCAACGCCTGTTATGGTTGGCTGACACTTTGCAGGAATATGAGGCGCAGCGTTGGCATCAGTTCCTCATCTACATTGCTTATAATATTGCTGCGTTTATTATCAATGCCTTGATGAACTCTGTTCTTCCCTGGGTTACTAAGAGTGCCTGTAAGACTCTTTGCCCATCGTTCCATGAAGAATACTGACGGTTCGAGTCATCTGGTCTCTCACTGGTTTTGCGGTCATCTGTATTACGGTGCTGGCATGCGCATCGCCAAACTACAGCTCGGGAAAGTGAGGACTCCTCTGTGGTCTTCCGGAATAATGGGCCCGCTGACAGAGTCAGATTCGTGTTTACGGATTTTATCAATGAGACAGGCTGTAAGTGTTGACACTTGAATTTGATGAAGCGAGCTGACAAACACAGGGCCTGATGGGGTTGCCTGGCTGCTAGGAGTACGTTATTTTATCACGTCAGTACATGTATAATTCTGACAAGGATGCAGTTGCTTCAAGGTGGACTCGGCGTTACAGGATTTGTAAGTCTCCATGCCTGCGGACATTTGTACTCGTCCTCGAAGCTAACTTGTCAAAGGACGGTGTCGCACATATGATTGAAGGTAATTCGTTCTCGACACAATGTGATGACATGAGCTTACGTTCAAAGAAATCCCCAATGCTTCGGTCGTCGGCCCGAAGATCATGATTGGCTGCGTTGGTATTGGAACTGTGACTGGTACCATCTTCCTGATTGTGTTGCTCTTTGTTGCTGGCAACATCGACGACGTGATCAGTTCGGCTGCTGGCCCTCTCCTGCAGATCCTCAAGAATGCAACCAACAGCAATGCCGGAGCCATCTGCCTGCTCATGTAGGTGATTTCAAAAGTCCCGTGGTTTGTTTCTAATGATCTCTAGGTTCCCCCTTGTCTGCATGCTTTTCGCAACCATTTCCATCATGACCACCAGCAGCCGTATGATTTTCGCTTTTGCAAGGTGATTATCTACCAGCTTTTAAGGACTGTAGACTTTGTGCTGACAAGCCTGGCAGAGATGGAGGTCTTCCGGCATCTCCCTTCTTCAGCAAAGTGCACCCTAAGCTGAAGGTTCCCCTCAACGCTTTGTATTTGAATCTGGCACTAGTTGTCATCTTTGGATGTATCTTCCTTGGCTCTACCAGGTCAGTTGTGTGGTGATGCCATCGTATTGTAGCACCATGGCTAACACGACTCAGTGCTTTTAACGCCATTGTCTCCGCTTCCGTGGTACTGCTTGATATCGCATATGGTATGCCAATTGCAGTCAACTGCATGCGCGGACGTAACATGCTCCCCGAGCGCCCATTTGTGCTTCCTAATCTTGTTGGCTGGATTGCCAATGCGGTAGGTTCCTCTTACGGCTCCCTCTCAAGGCGGAAACTCATATCTTGCTTTAGATCTCCCTTGCCTACATTGCAGTCACCACTGTGCTCTTCCTGTTCCCCCCTGAGCTCCCCGTATCAGGCAGCAACATGAGTAAGTTCCAATGCACTTGCAATCCGGAATTGAGCAGCTACTGATACCGCTGCATCTAGACTACTGCGTCGCTGCCTTCGGCATCATCATCGTTATCTCCACTATTCAGTGGTTCGTTGACGGTCGGAAGAACTTCACTGGACCACGAACGGATATGGACATCTTGACAGGACAACTCCCTGCTGGCCATTACCCTGTCGACAACAGTAATGCTGCGCATGAAGAATCTCGTGAAAAGTAGCCTCAGGAGGCGCTTGTTGTATAGTACACGGCAGAGTGAGAATTTGTACCATTTCCATGCTATTTGAGACAATATCGAACAATTTCAGTAGTAGCTGTACATAAGTGTACCGTAGTATAGTCTGGTTGGATGATGCCATTACGTCATGGCAACCTCAGGCCGCCAATCCTGCCCCAACAATCAACCAGCTCCCCACAGCTTTGAAGATCACCACCAAAACTATTCGCACTATCCAACTGCCCGGCATATCATCCATATCAACAAGTTTCAAGAACTTTCAATCATATTCAATTTTCTCGCTGAACGAATCAGGGTGCGGGACACCGACTGTTCATCGACTTACAGTCACCCCATATACTGGAACTGCAAGCTCAACATCTAGCCCCACATCTATACTACCCACCACCAACAAACAACCATGCTCTCATTCTCCTTACCCTCCTTCAATTTCCTACCATCCTGGAAACGTCAGACAGTCTTCGACATCCCGCCAGTGAAGATCCATGAAATCGACACAACCCACGAAAAGCCCGCCAGGGCGTTGAAGCACCTGCTCAAACTGAACCACGCGAATCATGCCATCCTGTACAACGAGCGGAAATTCCACAATCATGCCCCTCATGTCGGTTTTGCCCCAGGCCCTGGAGATCATGTCGCTGACATTAACTAGATTCTCAGTTCGTCGTTTCTGCAAGGTGCAGACGCGGATGATCTGAACCGAGTGTATGAGGCCGAGTCGAAGACGCTGGAGCCGTGGGTTGATGCACCGGGGGAGATTAGTACGTATGACTGGAGGGATTATCTCGGACGGCGGGAGTATGTATCTCTGGCCATTGCGTGTCATGAATCGCGGAGTGTGCTGATGTTGCATAGGTACCAGCGCGCATTTGTGGATTTCTTTGAGGATGAGCTTGTGCGGCATGGGTATGACTGGAAGAAGGTCGTTGCGGATTATCTGTTCTCGGGCAAGGAGCCGATGTTTAGTTCGCTTGTTGCTGATCGTGAGTGGTTGGGGATGGTTGGTTGAGGAAGGATACGCTGACGTTGTGCATCAGTTGGGCATCCGTTGATTCATCTGGCTTACGCCTTTGAGATGTCGAGTCGGGAGGTCGCAATGGAAGCGTTGGGTCTCGCGGCAACTTGCTACAGCGACATACACAAGTACATTGATGATCCGTCCTATTCCAAGGCGGAGTCGTCGTACCATTCTACTTCGCTTTTTGAAATCCTAGCCAAGGTCCGGACTGACAAGCGCTTTAAAGGGTTGTTCGGAACACCAGGGGACCATAACTTGGATACCCTCTTCCGGCACCACGAGGCGGCCCTACTGAACCATTGGAATGCTTGGAAGATCGAGGATCCAGTACATCAGTTCCGTGAGAGCCAGGAACTCGCCGCTGCTTTGCTCACCGCTACGCAATCAGATCCCACTGATAAATACGATTTCTTCCTCGTCCATGTGCTTACCACCAGCCATGCTGTCCGAGTTCTCCTGCCGTTGATTCCTGCGCGGTTTCAAGTTCCACTTGTCAGGCAGTGGTGGCTGATGACGCTGGCGGTATACATCGCCCAGCTCAGACCGGAGATCGATCTTGACCGAATTCGAGATTACAACCTGGAAGGAAGAGACTGGAAGTGGACAGCGAAGCAAGCTGTCAAGAGCGAGCATTCTACGGATGCACATTATGTCAAAGCTTTGCGTGCTATGCGAGAGGCTGCAACAACATGGGGAGACTCGGATAAGTTCTATCTGAAGGCTGCTGTGAAATTTGCAGAGCAGTTCAACGGTTGGGGAGGGTTTGTATAATGGCGCTTGCTTCATTTACTTGGTCTTTCTTGAGCGATTGTATTACTATAAGCTTCCACAGCTGGTGCGATCTGCTTGTCTATGACGATCTAAATGGCCTAGTCTAGTTCAGTCATGGAATCACTCATTTTCCGGTTGCTAAAGGTCCCTATTTCTTCACCTTCAAGCAAAGTCTCATCGCTTGAGGTCTGATTGGTTGAAAGCGAGTAATCACGTGATTTTACTGAGTCTTGTTTGAATCGTTTGCAATTCAAATCCACATCAACACAACCGTTGTTGCTGTCCGATTCAGGAACAATGATACCACTTTCTTGCGCAATTTGCTCTAATCTCAAGTCTTGACACTTATCTTGGTAGTTTATACTTTTGCTATGTGAGGAAACAAAGCTGTCATGCCTGTTTTACCAGAGAACCCAGAGACAGATGTTGATACGTCCTTTTACCTCCACGCGGAACTTCTCCCAAATATCCGTCACATCACACTCTACATCTCTTCACCGGCCAATCTAGGTGGCCAGGACGTCCAGCCGCTGATAACTCTCTCAGGATCCCGTCAAGCTGTCTCGCTATCTCTACCGAAACCCTTCGACCATGTGACTGATACCATCAAACTGCCCGCGCGGGTCAATGAAGCCTCGCGGCGCGTTTTAAGCACCAATAGACAGGGCGCGGCGAATACCGCAGACAATGGCTCACACACTAGGCGGCGGGAATACTCGTTCCGAATGCAGATTGATATCTCGGATGATTCACTCCCGCCAAAGGACGCGCTCATCGATGATTTCGTACCCTGGACCGCTGCGGATATGTCTCCGTCGACGAGACTGCGTTGTCGCGGATGTGAGAATGTCATCCTGGATACGCCTGAGCGACGCGCCGATACCCGGTCTGAGGATACCGGTCCAGAAGGCTGGACGTGGAAAGACCTGCCAAGCGGGAACTGGGCCGAGATGATGGATTTCTGGCACTGTCATAAACCTGACCCTCCTGCCGGGCATGATCATGCCAATGGGGAAGATCCCAACGCTCAGACGAAGGGGTACGGAGCGGCGAATCAGGTTGTGGCGTCGTCCGGGACGGTCCTCGTGGATGTGGCGACGTTTCTGGTCTCGGAGGCGGATTGCAGGGGATTGAAGAAGGTAAGGGCTTGTCTTGGTGTTTTTGTTTCCACTACCCTTTCTCTTTTACACTCTCTCGGGCAAAAAGAAGGAGGCCCCTTTCGTTTCCATGGACGGGTCTTCGATACAATTGCCCTATATCGATCTAAGCTCCTCCTGAGTGGGACGGACTGACGTGCAGTCGTGATGACAAGATGGCCTGGCCCTTGGGGTGCAGTTATCCTCTTTGTGAGATGGATTTCGCTCTTCATCTGCTTAGGCCATTTTGTTGTTGGGGCTCACTGAGGCCCGTCTGGTGCTCTGAGGGTAAGGCTGCCTCGCTCGTTTCTTCGTCGATTTCAGTCTTGTGGGACTTCCCAGAGGTATGGGATTGACGCGATTAAGCGAGGTACATACAAGCTGTAGAGGTAGCTTCCATTAGCCGTCCGTAGGTTAGATAGAGGTGTCTTCTAAATACAAAATTGTGATTCTCAGGCGCATTGTTACAGCATCAGCTCGCTGATTCCAATACCATAGGTTCAACCCTCAACTGAAGAGACCGCACAAAAGAAAGAAGTATCCTTGAACTGCGCGAACTGCAACGCCACGATCGGTACTGAAGACGCCGTGGCCCAGGGCTGGCGACTCTTCAAGACAAGCCTATCCGCCAATATCTCCCCACCAAGAACGCCCCAAGAACCATCACCAACAACATGGGAAACCCACCCCATCGAAACCATCGTCGCAGCTCAACTCCTCGAGCTCATCGAGCGCGAAAGTGCCCGTCGCTTCGTCATTCACTGTGGCAGGCCAAATGGACTCCTGGTACGTACCCCCAAACAACATCTTCATGCTAGGAAGCCTAACGTTATCAAGCTATGGGTCTTCAACCCGGACTTTCGATACTCGAGTTCCACCGCAGAGCATAGTGTCTCCTCGCAGCGGGCGATGAAGGTCTTCTTCCAGGAGGTTGGGGATGTAGATGGTATTCTGAACCCGAAACCGAGTTCGGGGGGCGGGAGGGCGTCGTCGCTTTCGCTCGAGGAGGTGAGAGTACCTGGTTCTGTGTATGATGCGGTTGCGGGGGATCTGAAGGCGAGGAATGAGATGTTGCCGGCGTCTGCGAGGGAGTTCCGGGAGTGGAGGGTTGGGGTTTTGCATCGGTTTGAGAGGATGTGAGTTGTGGTGAATGGTGTACTGTATAGTGAGAGTGAATAGGATTCACTGTCCTGTTTATCTGATGTAAGGATTGATTGATATTCACCGACCTCGCCTCTCTCGCGTATAATATCTCGCAGCTCGCACCTGAACAACTCATCTCTCTCACCACTTCCATCCTCCTCTAAGATAAACCAAGGTAGCTTTGCTATCTACTGAATCTGTGAGTCCTTACCTCCCTTACACATACTGCTGATAAAATACTAACATTCAAAGCCCATATCGGAAGCAACCCATCGATCCTCACAATGCCTCCTAGCAATCAGAATTCCAACAATTCCCCCAAGCCCTGGGGAAGCCACTACGCACCCGGGGTCACTATAGACAGCACCGGCGGGAGAACTTTCGTCGAAGGCGGCGCATTCATAGACGATGACGAGGAGGGTCCGGCCTGGCAGCATGTCGAAGACATTTCTACCTTGACGCCTGAGGAAAAAGAGTTTGCGAATGGGTGTCGAGCGATGCTCGTGAGAGTGGCTCTAAGAAGGGTATCCTTGGCTTTGGTGCGAAGGGTAAGGGTCCTGCTGGGAAGAAATGAGTGAGTTGTCGTCGTGGCCAGCTTTTATCTTTGGAGTGAGTGAGGGCTGATTTGATTGTTGGCAGGCATCGCAGGGACCTACGGGATGACCACGGCGGAGGAACGGTCATGGTTGCTTTTGTCGGTTGTTGGAACGTGGCTGGCTGCTTGAAAAAGGAGTGGAAGATGTGAGGTGCATGGGATCTGTGGACACTGCACGATTGTGTCTCTTTAGCTACATGTTATGTTGAGACACCACTAGTAAATCAAGAGATGAATGGATGTTCAGGAGGCATAATCATTGGATTATCTCTCAATAGCACTCCATATTTTGCGAATACTTGTCGCGGAGTTTGTCTACCCTTCAAATGGCGTCTCAAAAGGGGGCTCTGCCTGAGGAGTGATCCTCGCCAAATGACGCCTCTGTCCATCTTCCCAGTCGAAGAGAGCCGAGTGTGCGACGACACGGTTCTATTGTCGTTAGTGCTCTTCCAGGAATGCAGCTGAAAGTATACTCACATCCCAAACGACCACTGTCCCAGGAAGCCATCGGACACGAGTCTGTAGATCCTGCGAGAGAGCGATGTGATCATACAAGAACTTGAGAAGCCAGTCCGACTCTTCCTTCTTGTATCCCACGATGTAACGGGTAACTGTCATAGTTAGAAGATGCTCTATCGGGGCTCAGGAGTCGTTCTTACATTGTGGGTTGACGAACAGGGCTTTCTCTCCAGTGACCTAGACGAATATCAATCACACATGTTCAGTCTGCTGGACAAGGTTAACTTACAGGATGAGTCCTGACAATCGGATGCTCCGAGGTGATCCCCTCCCGCCGGGCAATCCCCCCTCGGTTCAGACTATTGTTGATCTGCTCGATACCAGAGTGCACCGCCTTCAGACCGTGGAGCCGCTTACGGAACTCAGGCGACAGCCGTCTGTATGCCTGCGCCATGTCGGCGAAGAGAGTATCACCTCCACTGGTCGGGCCGTCGAGAAGGTACAAGAAGGTCGTGCCGGGTGGCTGCTTCTCGAAGGTCACGTCCGAATGCCAGGTCACAGTGTTTGTCCGTGTAGCTAGAAACTCGGCACCGCTCCGGTCGTCCGCCCCGCGGTGCACGAGGTGAATCTCCGGGAAGCCTTTGGGGGCTCCGGAGGTTTGATGGATATGGTGTCGGCCGAAATAACTACCAAACTCCAGGGCTTTTTCAATGGGGAGGTGGGCAAAGTCCTGGTCACGGAAGGCTGAGGAGCCCATCAGCAGTGATCAATGAAACTGGCCATCTGTCACATACCGACGACCTTTCTCTGAGCTGCGTAGAGGGCCAGCTGATCCTTTCCCTCTTTCGTCAACTGGCTCAGTTGGACACCGCGGACTTCACTGCCAATGGTCGGTGTGAGATGGTCCACCTGCACTTTACCCTGCGGCAGTAGGTCAGGAAAGGATGGATCAGCATCTGTGCCGTGGTCGTAGTGCTCAAAAGGCGTCAGTGGTGGATATCTGAGGGTCATCAGCGGGATATGACCTCGGAGACTCAGAAGTTGAAGAATAATGTCCACTTACCTTTCCGTCTCATTGTCCCAGACGGGAAGATAGTGAGGGAATGAGGCAGGAGGCTGCTTCTCTGTGCCCTCAACCTCGTTCTCATGCTTGTAGACCTCTCCATAGCCGATCACATTCTCCTTGTTGAACCCAGCATCAGTCTTGAGCTTGGTGACTGGCGCGGTACGGAGAGCAACGTTCTCAACCAGTGATGGGGCCATCCTGATGTATGTCTCGATTCAAATGCGGTCCTTGATTCCAATCTGTGTAAAATAGCTCATGCAAGTTGAGAATACCACTGCAGATATATCCATTCTCCCTGCCGAGTACCCGATCTGTGCTCGCGCAATCACTGCGGGGAATGCTCTGATATGTCGTATCTGCCGTACGATCCGGCCATTGTCTTCCTCCACGCGGGGTAGATTAGAGGCCAACGCCTTGAGACGTCCAGGCAGGGTTTGGAACACTGAGGACAGGACAGCATGGCGTGTCACAGCGCTGCTTTAACCCGGATTGGTCATCTGGCCTGCCGATTAGACTTCAGCGTATTCCTTCACGACCGCCTGAGCAATTGTGATGGCGTGGAGTCAATCATTCTGACAACCCTTCAAATCAAGTTGCAATGCCTGATAACGATACAAAGTCCTGCTTGGATCGGTGTTGCTGCCCTGGCCAAGCATGACGTGATTGCGGTGTTGAGTCGCGCAACGCGTATACAACGCCAACTTCACCTGAAAGAGGAAATCTCCCCCTCTTTATTCCAGAGTTGGGAGATTCTGATTGAGATGTTTGGGCCACATCTCGGATTGCTGCTTCCAATGCGATTAGATGCGATTTGGCACTGGCAATACGCCTTGCTCGTCCTGGTGAAATCTCATCAGAACGGGTTTCAAATAAGACCAAAGCTTGCAAAAAGAGTGACTCGTCAAAGGCACAGCGAGCTCCTCTTGGGGGCCGAATCTAGTGATCGTCGGATGAAGTCTAGACGATGGTGACCACAATGGCGATTGGCGTATGATAGCACCATCGTCCATCACTATTGCAGGACAACTCTAACTCGTTCGCCATCAGCCTTATTGGGTACAAGAAATGCCATGAATCAGGTCAATGCGTGGGAGACTCCACAAGAAAGCTCCATATTCGACACTACTCGATATCCCTGCACGTCTTCGACGACATAACTCGTCTTCTATAACGTCAATCTGATTCGCTTTGCGTGATCAGCGCCAGTCCAATACTACCAAGTGCGAATACCGCTCAGCTTGTTTGATCACTGGATTCTCCCTATCTTGGGTATTTTTTTGGTCGTATAGATATGTCTTCATCGGGTATGACACTGCTTGCATCCATGCTGACCTATTCGAAGCCGAAGATTGCGTGATGGAAGATGAATCTTCAGATGCTATCAGGACACGACAAAATGCATGTTTATATTGCCCGTCTCCGTCTGATATGCTACAAAATGTCACATAGGCTGCCCAATCGACCCGAAAAGCTCTGCCTCCGAGTCGCGAAATGGCCCCAGATGAAGTAAAAGGAGCGTCTGCTCCTGAGGGATATGACACCAAGGTGTTCCCAAAAGCCATCGCAGCAGAGGCATCTACCCCTTCATTGTCAAGTGATGAGCCTCGACGGTACAAGGATGCGGGAGATGCTGCATTTGACACATCTGAAGACCCGCGGTATTACAAGCCAATCCCGACCTATGAAGGTATCCATCGTTGGGATCCAGACTTCGAGTGGACTGAGGAAGAGGAGAAAAGACTTATAAGAAAGGTATTCAGAACACAGTTTTGTCTTTACAGAACAATACTGAAATGTGTAGATTGACCTGCGAGTCTGCACATTTGCATGTGTCACGTTCTTCGCGCTCCAGCTGGATCGAGGCAATGTCGTCCAGGCACTGTCAGACAACATGCTGGGTGATCTGGGTCTGAACACAAACGATTACAACACCGGACAAACGATCTTCTACCTCTGCTTTCTTTTCGCGGAGCTGCCCTCGCAGCTCATCTCCAAGGCGCTCGGGCCGGATCGTTGGATCCCCATCCAGATGGTCTGTTGGAGTTTGATCGCTGCTTTCCAGTCTTTTATCAAGAGCAAGAGCGGGTATTTCGCTTGTCGAGCACTTCTCGGGTTATTCGAGGGCGGATTGTAAGTCGAGCTCTGAGCCACTGGTCCCATAGAGTTGATGTTGACCCTCCCAGCATCCCCGACACGATCCTCTTCCTCTCCTTCTGGTACAAGTCCAAGGAACTGCCCATCCGCCTGAGTTACTTCTGGGTCTCCTACGAAGCGACCGCCATCGTGGGCGCATTCCTCGCCTTCGGCTTCCTCCACATCCACGATGGCGACGGCAAAGGCGGCTGGCGCTACCTCTTCGCCTTCGAAGGCCTCATCACAGGCATTGTCGGCATCATCGCCGCATTCTGGATGCCCGCCTCACCCACGCAGACGAAAGGCGGCTTCCGCGGAAAGAACGGCTGGTTCAATGAGCGCGAAGAAAAAATCCTGGTCAACAGGGTCCTCCGCGACGACCCCAGCAAAGGCGGCATGCATAACCGGCAAGCCGTCACGCCCAGGATGCTCTGGCAGGCGCTCTGCGACTACGACATGTGGATCATCTACCTGCTCGGTCTTACGTGGCTGATCCCCAACACGCCGGCGACGAGCTACATCACGCTGCAGCTCAAGTCGCTGGGGTTCAAGACCTTCGAGACGAACCTCCTGACTATACCCGCGTACGCGATCTTCATCGTCAACCTGCTCTTCTGGACTTGGATCTCGGAGCGGTTCAATGTTCGGTTCCTCCTGGGTGTCGTGGCTGAGGTCTGGTGCCTGATTCTGCTGGTTGCGCTTGAGGTGCTGCCCGCTGATGCCAGTGCCTGGGCGCGATGGGTCATTTTAATACTTCTTCTCGGGGCGCCGTATATCCATGCGATTATCGTGGCCATGACCTCGAGGAACGCAGGCACCGTGCGGACGCGGACGGTTGCTAGCGCGCTGTACAACATGATGGTGCAGACCTCGAATATCATTGCCAACAATGTAGGTGTCCGTCTGGTTCAGGAACGAGAGTCTACAGACGTCCTAACAATGCTCAGATCTATCGCGAAAATGATAAACCGTACTACCGGACCGGTAACAAGGTTCTCGTTGCTTTGTCGGTATACAGCTTGGTTCTCTTCGTCGTGGCCCGATTCTACTATGAATGGCGAAACAAGTACGTTTCTTCTCCCCGGGTTTCATTTGATGGTGAGATACTAATTTGTGTCAAAAGACAAAAAGCAGAAAAGTGGAACGCCATGTCTAGCGCGGAAAGGGAAGAGTATCTTTCTGCGAATAAGGACCTGGGGAATAAAAGGTTTGTTAGGTACAAGACATAGACTTCCTGACTTGGGCTGATTATTCGACAGACTCGACTTTAGATTTGTGTACTAGGTGCTGGGAATGAAAAGAGATCCTGCTGGCTTGAAATTGGAAAGTGCTGTGGCTTCTTGATAGACCTTTGATAAAGGAGACGTGAGATAAATCCAGATGAAACCTTCTATGATAGCTGGTAATAGCTCAGATGTACCTCGATATAAGAACCCACGCGCATATTCAGTCTCATGTGATGCCTGATGATGTGGAAATCCAGCAAAGGCTG